AAAAAAGAAGTACTTGTGACTCGTTTGGAAAAAATATAAAACTGTTTTTGATGGGTTGGAGTCAATAAAAGGGGCTATTTGTTGACTATTTTTTACTCGAGCTTTCAATTGTGATTACAATTTTTATCAAGAGCTTCTAAAAAATACAAAATATCTTACAAAGTTGAACTAGAAATAAAAAATTTTTTTGTTAACTCACCAAATAAAATTAGTTTTTTATATAAAACTACTGCTTACATATTAAATACAAAAAATATTAATAAAAAAATGTCTTATTCTAATAAATGTTTCTCTGAAAAATTTTGATGAAGTTTCTTAAGAAAAAAAATTGAATTTGTAAACAAAAATAGAATAGCTACAAACCAGCCTAAATGTCATAAATACTAACTTAAAAATTTTTATTTTTGACATATTGTCAAAAATAAAATTTTGTTTGAAAAATTCTTCTTTGTTTAGTAATAAAAAAGAAGAAGATTTATTCACCATTGATAGATGCCCGAAAAAATGTAACAAATACATGGAAAATTCAAAATGTGATATTTTACTGACTGCATATATAAATTAAATAGAAATTATATAATTATAAATTTTGCTTAAATTTTGAATTTCTGACCTTTTGTTTAAATTATTATCACTTTTGCTAATACAAACCATTTCCAAAAAAGTTCTTTTAAATTTATTACTTTCATTACATAAAATTTTAATATTATCAAAATCCATAATATGGTCTTTGTCTATTACATGCTCTGCCAAAGCACAAGATGGTTTCTTAATTCTACAATCACTCTTGTGAGAAATAATGCGATTTGAGAGATTTCTTCCAGTCTCACCAATATACTCAGCTTCACACTGAGTACAAACAATGCTGTATACTACATTTGTTTGATCTAATTTGTCTATAGGATATTTAGTTTTGGAATATAAAGATGAAATAGTTTTGATGTTCTTTGTTGCAATTTTTATATTGTCAATAACCTTTAATGTTTGTATTAATTTAGGAGTTAATGATGGTATAAAAGGTAGTGAATGATAATATATGTTTTGATTGTTGGATACAGTGTTTTGAGATTTAGAAAAAAATGGTGTTAAGTTATTTATATTTAATAAATTAGAAAAAAGCAACCTATGTAGCATATCTGGAGGATAAGAGTTTTCATCTTGAAATCTTGGAAATCTTGGATCAGTAAATCTTGGAAAACTGAGAGAAACTTTTAAAAGCGAGCTGCCCACATGCCTAAAGAGAAAGGTATTTGATCAGTGCGTCCTCCCAGTCTTGACGTACGGAGCAGAAACACTTACCTTAACAAAAGCAGCAGCTACCAAACTGAGAGTCACGCAGAGAAGAATGGAGCTCTCCATTTTAGGAATAACTCTGCGAGACAGAATAACCAACGAAGACATCAGGAGAAGAACCGGAGTGACTGACATCATCGAGAAGATAGCCAGACTAAAATGGAGATGGGCAGGACACCAGAATGAGCCAAAGAGGTTATTGGAATGGAGACCAAGGGAAGACAAGAGAAGGGTCGGTCGACCCCCTACAAGATGGACTGACGATTTAAGAAGACTCAATAAAAACTGGATAAGAGCGGCGCAAGATAGACGGGGTTGGAAACATGAGGAAGAGACCTATGTTCAGCAGTGGACTCTTGAGGCTGGATGATGATGATGAACCAAACAAGCATCTGTGGTTGCTAGCTAGGTTCTATTGACAGACTAAATAATTGAATATCGTTCTAAAATAAAAAGAATATATTAATTTTTTTTAGAGTATTTTACATCTTTAGGTATATAGTCGACTTTCGCACATCCGCTCAATCTACACATTATTACTGTGAATGAAATCTTATTTTATAAACTAGGTTTAATGTATTATCTTTATTATTTTAAACAGAAATATAATATTTTACTTTTACAACGTAAAGTTACCAGCAAGGAAACATAGTTTCTTACGCGTCGCCAATGACCGATCAAAATTTCTGAGAATACATGATGGGCACTTGATTTCGGCTACTTTTGACCATTTCATTTCATTTAATATTTGCCATATATTATAAGTAAGAACATTTCATGAACTGGTTTCTAATACACAAAATATGAGTAAATAAAGATATAAGTAGAAAGACAGCTACGATTTGGTTTCACATATAGTGCTCCTAAAATTCGCTTATACGTATTTCGTCATTTTTATGACATATAAGACTACTAGAAGCCAGTTAATGAAAGATTCTTACTCAGATGAATAGATATGACGTGGAATGTAATTTTAGATCGACAGTCGATAAATTTTTAATTCACATATTTCTGGTAAGCACTTTGTACAAAATTCTAATTCTGGCCAAAAATTTGTAAAAAACTGATACTATCATAATGTAGGTATCCATCAAAAACCACAAAATTTCCATCTAAAATATTTATAATTCGGGACTGAAAGACTTAAACTAGAAATATAAATTTTATTTTCCATTCAAACTCAAACACACAGTAAGTAGTCTTGATGTTAGATAAGTAAACTCTTTATTTTCAATGACCTGTCCTTACAAACTACAACTCATTAAAGCAAAAGTTATATACTATATCCATCCTGTACGAACGCGACCTGTCAGTTTTGATTTCGCAGATAAGGGAGCGCTAGGGGCTTGTTGTTTCTTGTTATCACCTGACGGGGCATCCTTGGGCTTTGTCTCGGATAATGATGACTTTTTTACAGGATCGTCTTTTTTTTCTGAGCCGCCGGGAGGTTTGGGGTCCTTTGGTTTTTCCGCCGCACTTGGTGGCTTCATAGGGGGCTCATCTTTTTGCTTGGATTCTTGTAAAAGCTTGTCAGGCCTTAATGTAATAGGAGATGGCCCTGGTTTAGATTTCGAATCCTCTTGGAGTTTTGTATCGATAGGTGATTTGGTGCAAGAGTGACCTAAAATAATGTAAGTAAGTAACAATAAAATAATAGGAAATAAAATGTGACAAAGGTAGACATTATTTATACTAGGGCCGCGGTATAGTGCAGGTGATATTTTTTATGCAAACAGGAATAGTTTTTTTGTAAACAAAACAAACAAAAAAACAATTCCTGTTTGCCAGTTTCTCCTTCATACAAGTAATGTTATGCTAAAAGTATCCTCTTTTTAAATTAAATATGTGTGTTTTCTCTTTTGAATGTGTTCTGCTTGTAATTAAATGTTTTTTAATTTAAATTTTTGCTATTGATATCACAATAATTTTCTTTTCTGTCCAAATACATACTAAAATTGGATCTTTATTAACTTGATAATTATAAGCTGGAGTAATTGCACATCCAAACTTACATCAAAGATAGAACATCTTATTCTACCTTGTCACAGTGCTGTGTGTTCTAGATCAGGGGTTCCCAAACTTTTTTGTACCACGCCCCCTTTTGTTAAAATGAAAGTTTCTGGCGTCCTCCTCCCTTAGCAATAAATTGTATGGGTCTAGGAACAACACTAAAATAAATAAGTATTACATAGAAAACAAAACATTTATTTATTCTGCCATAAGATACAATAATATCAGTTTTTATAAAATACAAAAATTAATAATAAAAGAAATATAGACTAGGTTGGTTAGTGAAATGGATGTGATTGCATTTTCTTTACTAGTATGCTTATTCGTGGTTGAGTTTTAGTAAGTGCACAACGCAAGTTACTAGCAGCATCAAGTTTATTCCGATACTTTGTTTTAATTGCCACAAATTTTCACTGTTGTTTGTAAGACGTTTCCACATTAGTCCTGCTGTTCTTTTAATATCGTCGCTCCAGCGCATTTGCGGTCTTCCTCATTGTCTTTTGGCTTCCTATGGCCGTCAATTCCCCATTTCTTTATTCCATCGGCCATCCTTAAGACGTTCGTTATATCCAGACCATTTCCATTTCAGTTTAGCTGCTGTTCGACAGCATCATTTACTTTTGTTCTATTACGAATGTCTTCATTGGTTTTATGGTCTTTGAGTGAGATACCCAACATCTGTCGTTTCATAGCTGTCTAAGTTTTTCTGATCTTCTCCATGTTTATTTTAGTGAATGTTCAGGTTTGAGCTTCATATGTAAGTACAGGTAGGATACAGGAATTAAACACTTTGGTTCGCAGTCTGAGGTATATTTTTATTTTTAAGTACGTATGAGAGTCTTCCGAATGCTGCCCATTCCATTTTTACACGTCTGCTTATTTCGGTAGTCTGATTTTCTTTGCTTACCTTTGCTTGATGTTTATCATAGGCTTGTCATCTTTGAAATATTTTAACCAAAATAAAGGTTTGTCCATTATATCAAAGTGGTATTTGGCAGAGGTATGTTATATTTGCAAAGCATCTTCTTGAAGTGATTCAGGCAAGAAGTCTATGTTGACATCTCTCTCTTCAATCCTGACCCCCCAGGGGGAGTGTAGTGGTCGACGTGATGTCGTGTATTGTCCGTCTCCAGAGATCTCTGTCTCTGGTCATTTCTTTCAGTTCATGCATAGGCATATTCTTGTAATTTGATCTATCCATCTTGTTGGGGATCTTCCTCGTGATCTTCGGCCTTCTACCTTTCCTTGTATTATGAGTCTTTCCATGTTTTCTGTGTTTGCTCTCATAACATGCCCAAAATATTTTAATTGTTGGAGATGGAGAGAGTCGTTGGCTAACTTTTAGCTCTATTAAAATTGAATTATTTGTTCTACGGTCGGTCCAAGGAATTCGTAACATTCGTCTCCAACAGAACATTTCAGTGGCGTCTATCTTTCTTCTCTCCGATTGTCTCAGAGTCCAAGATTCACATCCGTAGGTCAGTATTGGGAATATTAAGCAGTTGATCAACCTCATCTTTATCGCTCTTGCGATTTGACAGTCCTTCCATATTTTGGTAATTTTTGCTGTGGCAACTTTTGCTAGATCACATCTACGTTTAATCTCTTCTTGTAATGACCCTGTGTTTGTGATTAATGATCCCAGATATAAGTATGAGCTCACAACCTCAAACCGGTCAATTGTGGTTATGTGTGGATGATAGTTGTGTAGTCTATCCACTATCATGATCTTTGTCTTTGATATGTTTAATTGCAGACCAAATATTTGACTTTCGTTTTCGATCAGTCGTATAAGTTCCATCAGCTCTGCTTGACTATTTGCAAGAAGGGCTGTGTCGTCTGCGAAACGTAAGTTGTTTAGTTTATGACAATTTATTGAGATGCCCTTTTCCCATCCTTCAAGTGCTCTTCGCATAAAATACTCCCCATATGTTGAATAATGTGGAGATAGTAACTCCTGTTGACACCCGTCTGGATGAAACTCGTTCGAAAGTGTGTCAAGTACTTTAACTGATCCAGTAGTGTGTTCATATAGTTCAGTTATAAGCGTAATTAGATGTTGTGGTACGCCTACTTCTTTTAGTATTCGCCATAAGTGTCTCCACTTGACCCTGTCGAACGCTTTACGGTAATCTATAAAACAGATGTATAGTGGGATGTTGAATTCCCTAGATTTCTCGATTATCTGTCTTATATTCAGCAGGTGTTCTCGAGTGCCTACTTGGAAATCCGTTGCTCTTGGATTTCTTTGAAGAAGTTTCAGTCCTCTGATTATAGCATTCTTGTGGCATGGGAAAAGAGAGTTTAATGCATTATGGAAGCTGCCTTTTTTATGTATGGTCGTTATTGTAGATTTTGTCCAGTCTTCAGGACATTGTTTGGAATGCCATATTTGGTTACGGAGTAGATGAAGTAACTTTACGCCGGTTTCTTCTGTGGCTTTAAGCATTTCTGCTGTTATCATATCTGGACCTGGTGCTTTATTATATTTAAGCTTGTTTCTAGCCTGTCTTACTTCATTTTGGAGTATATCAGGTTCTTCTTCCACCTCGTCAGAGATTTGGCTAACAAGCTCTTGGCGTTGATCATCTTTATATAGGTTCCTGCAATATGATCTCCATGTCTCTGCTATGTCTTCTCTGTTTGTTCTCAGGGTTCCAGTGTTATCTTAAATGGCCCAAGTTCTGGCTCTGAAGTCTCTTGTCAGGTAGCGTATTTTTCTAAATAGATCTCTCGGCTGATTATACTGACCATGTCTCTCAATTTCTTTGCATATACTTTGATAGTACTGTTTTTTGTCAGCCTTACATCTTCGTTTTATTTCTTTACTGAGGTTTCTTAAACTAGCTTTTTCCCTTTCACTATGTACACCACTTTTACAAAGATGTCTTCTATTCTCAATTATTTTAAGAGTTTCATCTGTTATCCAGTGTTTCTGTTTCACCGGATTATTTTTCTTTGAGCGATCCACTGGTGTTGTTACACAATGTTTAACAGTTTAACCATGTCCATGTTGACATGGAATGGGTCAATTCACATTCCGAAAATACTATCGTCACAAGTGTTTGGGAAGTATTTCTGGAACTCTTCAATTAGGCTCACCAAATGGTTTGATATTTGGATTTTGTAACTTGATCCTTCATAAATGTCCTTAAAGCGTGTTTCTTTTGAGATTGACTCCACTTTAGGAAACTTGAATAATTGCAGAGGTTTGCTGATATTTTACGCCTCCAAAGTTGCAATTTCTCAATATACATCTTAATCGCATAACGATGAGTAACTATATTTGAGTCTCCATCCTGCAGTTTTTGGTTAAGGCTGTTCAACGAATCAAAGATATCTGACAAATAAGCCAATATTACTTGGGTTCAATGTTTTTAGAAGGCCACGCTTAGTATATTTTGCTTTTGCTGTTCCAAGAAGGTGATTACTTCATCTCGAAGGTCAAATAATCTTGCCAACATGTTTCCTTTTGAGAGTCATCATACTTCTGTATGAAATAGCAGTGTTTTGACACTGCTTTTATCAATAGCTTTTGTCGTGGTCTCCAACTCTGTAGAAACTAGTACACAATTTCTACAGTTCCACAGTTGATTAGCTGTGGTTAGCTGGCCTGCATCTGGCGGAGGGAGGAAAGGAGGGAGGCAGTGCTTCGAAACGCTCGGTTAACAAATGCGCGCTAATTGCCACATTAAACGTCTTACATTCCATTCTTTCAAGCATTTGATTTCAAATTTATGTATAAAGTTAGATGTTACAGTGGTTTGTTTTATTATTCTAAAAATCATGGTTAATTTAGAATTTTAGAAAGACTACCTAAATTTGATTTAATTTTCGACTTATCTCGCACCCCCTGACCTGTCCTCATGCCTCCTAGGGAGAACGCGCCCCCAGTTTGGAAACCCCTGTTCTAGATAAATAAGTTCAATAAATAACACACATTTCAAAATATACCTCTTCAATAAATGTAAATTACTTTTAAATAATATAACATCATATTTAATTTTCAATAAACAATTTACATAATACCTACATTCCTAGTCTAGTTGTTAATATCTTTTCCCCTTAAGTTCCGATGACCACCCGTCACCAGTTTATCATAACGGATTTTTAAACTATGTTTTCTCAAATATTCAAACATTTAATAATGATACTTGTATCGGCATGTAAGTAATGTTTATTTAATTTTAATTTTACTAATTCATTTTTCACTTAACTTTTTATTTAAGTAATTTAAATTCATATTTAATAATCACATACATATAATATTGACATAATTGCTATATATTCTACAGACAGTACCATGTACCGTTGACCTGAATATGCATAGCAAATTCTTGTATTCGAAACCGGTCGTTGGTGGTAGAAAATAATTGTGAGTAAGTCGTATTCTTATTTCTTTTTACCTATTTAAAATCAATATTTAAAGTAGTACTTAAAAACTAGAAATCTATCGTAACGATCGTACTATGGAAAAATTAGAAGTATTATTCCACAAAAAAGTCGTCTAAACAACTGAACTATTAGGGGAAAGTGGGGGAACCGTGCGCGGTGGGGAACGGTGCGCACCATTAAAATTCAAATTACGCGGCATACTGAGAGTCCCCTCCCGAACAGGCTTAAGCGGGAACATGCACAGAGTCTCTGAAGCCATTAACTGCCACTGCAGTTGAGTTGTGTACTTAGTGAAAGGCGAAAGTGTGCATTTGAGGTTTTTGTTACTATTTTCCACTTGCACAAATTAAGACGGTGAGTCCGTAAATCTTAACTACTTGTTTTGAAATAATTATATTCTTAAAGAATATCATCTGCTGCATATATGCACACCATTTGGTTGCATTTAGATAAGTAATTTTTGTAGGATGATGTAATTACGTTTTTAAACCATAGTGGGGTAACCGTGCGCGAAAATGCGCACGGTTACCCACTAATCAATTAAATATGAAGCAATATTGTTATCGTTTTTGGGTACTAAAATCCGTCTTTTATTTTCAGATGCCACGAAATTACGTTCGAAAGACTGAAATCCATCAATATAGTGATGAATTGCTGGAGACTGCACTGAATGCAATTAGAAACGATGGGAGGAAAATACGAGAAGTTGGGAGGTCTTTTGGTATTCCTGAATCAACACTCAGAAAAAAGCTTTCTCTAAATCAACTAAAAATCCCCCATCTCGGTAGAAAGGCGATTTTTACAGCAGAAGTGGAAGCTGAATTAACCCACTATATTCTGACACTCGCAAAATTGTTTTACGGCGTAACGCCCCGACAACTGAGGCAGTTAGCGTTTAATTATGCTCAACAGAAAAATATTCCAAATAATTTCAATAAACAAACTCAGTTAGCAGGCAAAGATTGGTTGTATGGGTTTCTCAAGCGAAATCCTGAAATATCATTGAGACAGCCTGAGGGGACTAGTCTTAATCGAATTGCTGCATTTAATGCGGACGAGTTAAAACTTTTTTATTCAAATCTCGAGAAAGTTTTACAAAAATTTAAATTTGAAGCAAACAGGATATATAATATGGACGAGACGGGTGTAACCACTGTACAGAAGAAGTGCCCGAAGGTTTATGGACGTAAGGGTGTAAAAAAAGTAGGAGCTGCTATTTCAGGTGAAAGAGGGAGGACCATTACAGCCGTATTTTGCATGAGTGCCACAGGAAATTATATCGCGCCCATGCTGATATATCCCAGAAAGAGAATGGCTCCTGCGCTGCAGAAAAATGGGCCAACTGGTGCTAACTATAAATGTTCAAAAAATGGATGGATGAATTCTGAACTTTTTCTTGATTGGTTAATGCACTTCGAAAAACAGGCAAATCCCACTTTAAATGACCCGATTCTCCTTATCCTTGACAACCATTCAAGCCATATATCCATAGAGGCATACGATTTCTGTAAGTCAAATCATATTCATATGGTGTCCCTTCCGCCACATACTTCCCATCACCTTCAACCCCTTGACCTATCCTTCTTTGGTCCTTTAAAAAATGCGCTATACAGGGAGTATGATATTTATTTAACTACAACAGGCCATGAAAAGATCACTGAATATGACGTAGCTGAGCTGTTAAATAAAGCGTTCGTAAAAGTCGCATCGATGGAGAAAGCAGTTTCGGGATTTCGTTCTGCTGGAATAAGGCCATTTGACCCTAACAAATTCAACGAAGATGATTTCGCTCCGGCCAACGAAATGAGACAGTTTGTAGTAGAAGGTTCTCCCGAACGTAGCGCTAATTTATTAACACTTGCATCTCAGCCAAATCTACAAAAAATTCCTAATCCGGCAACACCCGAACCTAGTGAAAATTCAGACGGTGAAGATAGACAGACAGCTCATATGCCAAAACAACAGCAGCAGGATCTACCTATTCAAGGTCATCTACCATGTACATCTACCGCTGAACAAGATCATCTACCATCTACATCTAAGTCTGGACACAACCATCTACCATCGACATCTACATTAAATAATTCATTCTTCCAATTTGCACCTATTCCAAGGAGAAAAGAAAAAGGAAGAGTAAAAACAGTGTCTCGTTCGAAACAACACTCTGAAATATTGACTAGCACACCCCTAAAAGAACGATTAGAACAAGCTCAAGCAAAGAAAAGGGAAAAAGACGTGAAAAAAAACATGAAATTAAAAAGTGTCAAAACATTAGGAAAGAACAATATTAAGAAAGATAATAAGAAAATGAAGAGGGCTCCAACACCTGAACTTGATGCACAAGAACGTGACGAGGAAGATGAAATCGAGAATGCTTATTTCTCGATCCCACCTCACTCCTTCTACGGAACCACTACAAGAAAAATAACGGCAAAAGAGAATGTTGCAAAAAAAGTAAAAAAACGCATATGTCAGTCTCCGGAAATTAAAAGAGGGAGAAATAAGAAACCAGCAACGCCTGAATCATCAGAGGTATCTGACATAGACGATAGTGACATTTGTGACGATGATGAAGTAGACGATATCAACCCCAACTATGTTCCATTTGATGCAGAACCTGACGTGCGGACTGAATTATGTGGCATATGTGGAGAACATGGAAAAAGCGAACTATGGTACCGGTGTGTTGCATGTGGCTTATGGAACCACGCGGCATGTACCGGTAAAGATGCCCCCGAACAATACATTTGCGACTTTTGTCAAGGTTAAACAGATACCTACTTAACATTATAGGTATATAATCACTCGTACAATAAATATTTGTTCTTGCATGTGAATTTGTTTTTATACCACTGTATTATTAGGTACTTGTATATTCCAAACTACTGCGCACTGTTCCCCACCCTGTGCGCACAGTTACCCCATGGGGTGGGGAACGGTGCGCAAATGCAATTTTTTACTTTTTCTAATTATATATGATTATGTTAAGAAATTCAATATCTATTATAGTGCATACTGAAAGTAGAATAATTAGGGTATCAGATAACGTTTTTATTTTATTTTTTATGTTTAAGAGTTGACCACCACAACGATTCTCGCTTAGGTGCGCACCATTCCCCCACCTTCCCCTACTGAACATCAGTCTGGAGGACTAGATAAACTGCCAGTTTATAATAAACTGTTGAAAATTAAACATAATGGTTCTACAATATTCATTGCTAATAATATTATATGAATTAATCGAATTTCTGAAGTCACTGAAGCATTTAACTTTGCGTGTATAAAGACTAAATTATGTATATTTTTGTTTGATGTATACTTACTAGGACTTTTTTCCAGTTCTATAAGTGGAGATAAACGGCCTCTAGCTACGTTCTAAAACAAAAAAAATGTATAAAAAAATATAAGGACGCCATATATTTAACATAATGTAGAAAAAGCACAAGACACATTGAAAATTACGTCGACAAATGGCAAAGAAAAAGTAAAAATTGCTAGCGGATCAAGAAGTGCAGAAATCAAGTGAAGTACAATAAATAGATTAGAGAAGAAAGAATCACTAGGAAGTTTTTGAAATTAAAGCATTGTAAATGGTAAATGAAATCGGAGAGTTCCAGGGTCAGAGTCAAAATTATTTTTCAGATTTAGATCGTGTATTTTTTGAACCACTTATATATGGATCCATCTCAAGGTTTCGATGCCCTTGTAGGCAGCTTCTTCAAGAGCAGCGTAAGGCTGTTATACATGGCAACTCTGCGTACTCAGCGGCAAAGACTAACAGACAGGGAAGAAATTCACGTAGAATATCTCAAACGTTTAACGTATCTATAGGTGAATACCTAATACGCGATGCTTTAAGACTTGCACCAAATTGTTGTCTTTCTTCCCGGAAACTGTGACATTTTCTGGCAGTTTTCGCATCTTGAAAAGGATTCTCTTCTAATTCAAAGCGGTACGATCTTCATGAGCGGTAGATATTTTTGGTCTTCCAGAACCTTTCGCTCCATCTTATATTAATATTAAAATCTGTTGTTTTGCTTACGTTAAAATGGTTCGCTACGGCAGATAGTGACCAACCATCTTCTAATTTCGTTAGAATTCTTTCTTTTAGTTCTTTGCTCGCATGTAGAGCCATTTTTTTAAAGTTGACCAGAATAAGTTTCTTCTTATTCTTCTTCCTTTATTGGTTAATATCCCAGGGGATAATTTGCCCAGCTAATTCAGGGGAATATTCTCAACTTGATCTAGACAATTGAATATCCCCATATAACACTAAATTGAAATTATTTTATGTTGAATGAACACTATGTTGAAACTTCTTCTTCTTGAAAACAAACAGTTAGTATAAGAAAGACAATACTCACAGAATAAAACTTTTTCTCGCTTGGAGGTAACAACAAAGCTGAACACATACCAGAAATGCTACCAACGGATAATACTCAGAGAACCCAGATGTAAAAAAAGAGAGGAATTGGTAAGGTTATGTTATAGTAGAATAAGAAAGCATAATATATTATAGATTGATTTTGGCTAAATTAAGAAAAGTAATCAACAAATTTAGTATTTGAGGATTAAGATTGGATAGGAGAGAGCAAATCTCTATAGGAGTTTGTAGTTTTGTTTTAACCAATTCTTTGTAGAGGTCAAAATTTGGAGAAACGTTTATTAGACACTCTAGGATAATATTATTCAGAGATCCAATTTGACCACATTCACAGTATGGGTTATCTCGAATACCTATGCGGAATAAATAAACGGGAGTGGAGCAATGTCCTGTTCTCATTCTAATTACTATGGTGATATGTTTTCTGTCTTTATAAGGAAATTGATTGAACCATGGTGATTTGTTCCATTTATTGACTATTTTACTATAAAACGACCTTTTGATGTGTTTCAATTCCATTCTTGTCCAAATCAGCCTTTTAATATAAAATAAGTGGTTTGAATAATGCAATTTAACTTTGGCTGGAATTGTTAGTGATCTTCTTATGTTTTCCAATGTCTGCAACACATTTGCCTTTAATATCCGAATATCCTGGAATCCATGCCAGAATAATACTCAGACAAATTTTAAAATTTGGCAGTGACAGTGACAGTATGTGTATAATAAGTATTTATCTTTCAAAAACAGTTGGACAAAAAAATTGCTTGAGTGGAGACCACGGGCTGACAAGCGAAGCCGAGGAAGACCCCCAACGCGATGGACCGACCACCTCAAAAGAATCGTGACCAATTGGATAGCAGAGGCGCAGAACAGAAGCAGATGGAAAAGTCTTGAGGAGGCCTATGTTTAACAATGGACAACTCATGGCTGATTGATGATGATGATCCTTCAAAATACACTGCTTAATTTTCTACAAAATACACTTTAAAAGTGGTATCAGTTTTTTAGGAACAAGCTGTACCTGGTCACCGAGTTTAGTTACTAGTAACCAATACAGGGCCTCAACTATCGCTTAAAGCTTATAAGTTACCAAGTTTTGATGTTTTTTTGTTGGTATTTTTGGTAACAACCACCATTTCTGTGTTGTAAGCACTATAAGAAACATCGAAAACGTAAACAAATGTCAGTTATTTTCTAAAAGTATATACAGGATTTAATACTAAAATCTAAGATAAAAACTAGAAAATTGGTAGTTTTTACTAACGCAATTTATGTCCTACCAATATTTCTATACTTTTACTACTACTAATACTTGTTGGTTTATAACGTTTCCGCCGTTTTCCGACTTCCAATCGTCACTTAGTCCGGTTGCTCCATAGGTCTTCTTCTATGACCCCCTCTCTCAGTTCTTTATTTATTCTTTGCTTCAATTTTTTCTGGTCTACCTCGTTTTCTCTTTCCTTCTGATTGCCATTTTATTATTTCTTTTGGTATTCGTTGTTCATACATTCTTTGAATGTGTCCGATCCGGATAAGTTGTTTTGTTGTTAGGTCATCTGTGATTGTTCGTTTGATTCCCATTATTTCTCTAATGCGTTCGTTGGTAATCCTTTCTCTTCTAGATCTTCCTGCGGCCCTTTTCCAAAAATCCATTTCCGTCGCTTTCAGCGTTGCCATTTTTCTTTCTTCCAGTGGCCATACCTCTTTTTATTTTCTTTGCTGATGGATTGGTCCCATAAAATTGTAATGGCTTTTTTCCCTGACGTATTTCTCTCTCTTATGGCTTTTTCTAATGTTCCATATTGTAAAATAGTGATACCTAGATATTTGTAGTCACAACAGTGCTTTATCGTGGCGTTATCGTCTAATATGAGATCTTTTTGTTCTACTCCAATGTACAGGTATTCGGTTTTCTTTTTATTTACTCCTAGACCCCATATATCATCCTTTTCAATTAATTTTCATGCCATATAGTTTAAATTGTCATAATCTTGAGCCATTATTACTTGATCGTCTCCAAAGTTAAACGTATATACCATAGTGTTGGTAAGCGGTATCCTCATTGTCCTGCATTTTTATTTCCATTTTTTTAAAGCACTTTCGAGGTAGATTAAATAAAGTAGGGGGAAGATAACATCCTTGCTTTATTCCTTTTGATATTATAATTCCCGTTGTTATTTGTGTCCTTACTTTTATTTTTGTTATTGGTTGGTTGTTTAGCACTTTGACGGCTTTTATTAATTCTATATTAATATTATTTCTATACTTTTACGTTTGCTAAAGATAATCTCTTAATATTATATTTTAATATCCAGCATATCCCAAATATAAAAACCCATTAAAACTAACCTTAAACTGTAAATTTACTTAAACTATTTCGTGATATTTTAATAACTCATAAGTACATAACATAAACAAGCACTCACCTCCTGCGCAGATATAGAATCCACGGAATCCCGTTTTCCTGAAGTGTCGGTCGCAGGTTTGGCAGTTGTGTCTGATCCCGCGGTTCCTTTCAAATGTAATCCAAATAAATATTACTACAACTTTTCCAGATTGAGTGTGTGAATGTTTGGCGATAAAAATAAACTGAATTAATGTTTTTCTATGAGTGTGCTGTGATTTAATACATTTGGAAGTTGTTATATAGTGGGATTGTAAACGGTAGTACAAAATTGATAATATAGTTTGCTTTGAAAATTTCGCTATTTATGGAATTGAGGTAAGTTATGTCTAAATTTTTTATAAGAAGAAAACAAGAAAAAAAATTATTTATTTATTTTTACGCACAATAGGCCTAGGGCATTTTTTTACAACATAATCCTAATATTGAATAATTACAATTATTTTAAACAAAACTTAAATATGTATATATAACATTCTTAACTACTCTGAAGGACCTGGTGTACAATATTTCTCCATTCGCTTTTATTTTGTGCTTTTATTTTCCAGTCCCTCACCTTTACGTGTTTAAGGTCTTCCTCCGCTTTACTAATCCACCTCGTTCTGGGTCTACCTCTTCTTTTGGGGCCGATTAATTTTCTGGTTATTACTAGTTTAGGCATTCTGTTTGCTGCCATTCTTTCCACATGTCCCAACCATCTGGTTCTTTGTGCCTTGACGAACTTGTTGGTAGGTTCTTTGAATAAAGCCATTAATTAATTGTTGGTTCTTCTCTCCCAACCATCTTCTGTCTTTCGTCCTCCGAATATGCGTCTCAATATTTTCCTTTTCCATCTTTCCAGAGTATCCTCTTCCTTTTTATTTAATGTCCATGTCTCACCGGCATATGTTACTGTGGGTCGAATTACTGTTTTATATATTCTGAGTTTACCTTGTCTAGAAACGTATTTTGAGTTCAGTAGGGCTCTTAAAACTACCTAATTTTTTATTCCCTTTTTGCTATTCTGGCTTCGAGCTATCATTTCTCTTTTCCCTTTTCATCGAAAATTACACCCAGGTATTCAAATTTGTCCACCCTTTTAAAACTATAGCTTTTACCACTTACTGACCTCACACTAAAGTCTTCTTTTTTCCCTTCTGTCCCTTCCATGATAATATATTTGGTTTTGTCTTCATTTAGTTCCAATCCGAATTGATGTGCTTCTTCGATGATTTTCTTCACAACTCTTCTTAATTCTTTCTCGGTTTTTGATAAGATCGTTAGATCGTCAGCAAATGCCAAGCCCTGGTGCTCATTTTTCATGATCGTTTCTTGCACCTTCATGCTGCATTTTCTGATTACAGTTTCTAACACTAATTTGAATAATGTAGTGGATAAAGGATCTCCCTGTCTCAAGCATTTTGCAACCGTAAATTGATCTGATATGTGACCCTGTCAAGCAATTTCACACGTAGAGTTATTAAGTGTCATTTTAACGGATCAGTTTCTTTGGTATACCCAAATGTTCCATTGCTCGATACATTTTGACTTTATCGACTCTTTATATGCTTGTCTAAAATCCACAAAGAAAACATTCAGGGGAACTTTACCTTCATAACAAATCGTTTGTATCTCCTTTAATGAGAAGATTTGGTCTACAGTAGATCTGTCCTTTCTAAAGCCGGCCTGATATTCATGCAGGATTTCCGTGTAGCAATTTAGTGTCTTTAGATTCCTTAGTTTATTTCTCAATATGCTTGCCAAGATTTTGTATACCGTGTCTAATAAGGCTATACCTCTATAGTTGCCACACTTCAGTTTGTCTCCTTTTTAATGCAGAGAGCATATGCGGGCCTCATACCACTCCGATGGCATTACTTCCTTTTCCCATACTTGCACTAGTAGCTGATATATTTTTCTTTGTAGTTGTTCTCCACCAAACTTGATCATTTCTATGCATATGTCATTTTTACCAGGACTTCTGTTATTTTTCATTTCTTATATTGCTGTCGACCACAGCACAAAGTAGAACCACAAAGATGCATAAAGCAACAGGTCCAGATGAAATTAATATAGAAGCAATAAAACTACTAGACGAGGAGAATATCGAAATCTTGGTAAGGCTGTTCAATAGAATTTATGATACTGGTTACATTCCGCGAGAATGGCTGCAGTCATCCTTTGTGATGATCCCAAAAACAGCTAATGCCACAAAATGCAATGAACACCGCTTAATCAGTTTAATGAGTCACTTGTTGAAACTCTTCCTTAGGATATTACACTCAAGAATGTATAAGATACTAGAAGAACTTAGCGGGTCAACACAATTCGGTTTTAAGGGAGGACTAGGAACAAGAGAGGCAATTTTATGTTTGAACACCTTAATACAAAACTGCTTAGATCAACGAAAAGATGTCTACCTCACCTTCATCGACTACGAAAAGGCATTTGACAATGTTAAACATGATATCATGATGGAACTACTACATAGGGCCAACATTGACCAGAAGGAGATCAGAATTATTCAGAATCTATACTGGAACCAAATGGCAAAGGTGAGGATTGATCAAGACCAATATACGGATGAATTTGAAATCCGGAAAGGTGTCCGCGAAGGCTGCATACTCTCTCCGATGCTTTTTAATTTATATGTTGAAAATATATTTGCGGAAGCATTAGAAGATACGGAATTAGGCATTAAGGTGAACGGCATACCAATTAGCAACCTACGCTATGCGGACGACACAGTGATTATAACTGATAATTTGGAAGATCAGCAGTTATTACTTGATAGGGTGAATAGCATAGGTAAAAAATATGGCCTCAAAATCAACATTTTGAAAACGAAATATATGGTCATTAGCAGAAACCCTCCAGAAAACCCGATATTATGCATAGGTGACAATCGTATAAATCGCGTGAAAACTTTTAAATACCTTGGCACCACAATCAATGACCAATCGGATCCACAACACGAGATAAAAACCCGAATACAAATGGCAAGACAAGCTTTTGTGAAATTCAGACCGCTCCTATGTAATCAACACCTAAACTTCGAAATACGCTACAGAATGGTCAAGTGCTACATATGGTCCATCTTGCTTTATGGCATGGAAACGTGGACTTTGAAAAAAACATCTATCAACAAACTTGAAGCATTTGAAATGTGGTCATTGAGAAGAATGATGCGCATACCTTGGGTGGATAGAGTTCGAAACGATGACGTCCTTAATAGAGCCGGCGTGGAAAGAGAACTCTTTGAATTAATTAAAAAACGCAAGATTGGTTACCTTGGGCACATATTGAGAGGAGCAAAATATGAAATACCACAGTTAATCCTACAAGGGAAGATCGAAGGTAGGAGAGGAGCCGGCCGCAAACAATTGTCCTGGTTAAGGAATATTAAAGAATGGACAGGAATACACAATACAGGTGAGCTGTGTCACGCCGCCAAGAACAGAATTCTAGTAATGAGATAGTCGCCTACGCACTTTGGTGTATGGCATGTTAAGAAGAAGATTGCTGTCAAACCCTCCTCCTCTGTAGGCTGCCTTTCAACTATCACATCTTCTCCAACTGTCCAGTTGTCTACTGCTTCGTGGTCCTCCTCACCATTTTATAATTCTTCAAAATATTTTTTCCATTCCGTCATTATTTCTGCCAAATCGCTAATTAAATTTCCGTCTTTACCTTTCATATAACTACAGTGGCTTTGGTAAGCTTTTCCCATCTTTTTAACTTCTTGATAACACGACCTCACGTCTTTGTTTTTAAACTTCTCTTCCATCTCTTTTAATTTCAACTCATTGTGGTTTCTCTTTTTCCTTCTGCACAGAGCTTTTAATTTTCCTCGAAAAATTCTATATTCTTGTTTTTACACTCTCTATTATCTGTTAATATTTGTTGTCTGATCTTCTTCTTTTCCTTTGCTATCGCCTGACACTCTTCGTCAAACCAATCTTTGTTTGTACTTCTCTTGGAGTCACACTTAACTATTTCCTCGCTAGCTTCTCCTACGGCTGTTTTAATTTGTTCCCAGGCTTGATGTGTCTGTAAATTTTTGGTCACATTGTTGTAGAATTTTATTTATTTCTTCTTCATATTTATTTTTTATTTCTACTTCCTTAAGTTTTTTTAATATTGTACTTTCTCTTCGTTTTATTGTTCGATTTCTCTTTTTCTTCCAGCCTCCTCCCACATGTGACTTTAACGAGGTAATGGTCCGAGTCGATTTCAGCGCCTTTCATAATTCTTACCTTCTGAACGATATTCAAATATTTACATCATAACATGATCTATTTGATTCACCGTCCTTCCATCTGGGGAGACCCACGTACCTTTGTATATCTCTTTTCGTTTTAGTTGTGTGTTTCTCACCACCATGTTTTTCTCCATGGCAAATCCAATAAGTCTTTGACCATTATCGTTTGTTACTTCGTGTTTACTGTAGTTACCAGTTACTGCAGTGTACAGAGGTTCTTTTCCTACTTTAGCATTACAATCACCCATTATTATTTTTACATCACGTTTAGGTAGGAGCTCGTATTCATTATTTAGCTGTTCATAGTAAAGATCTTTTATTTCGTCGTCCTTGTCTTCTGACGGTGCATGAATATTGATTATACTCCAATTCCTTTTCTTAATTTTAATCCGTATTGAGCACATCCTATCAGAGATAGGATTAAAAGCTATCACTTTGTCCTTGATACATTCAGCTACTAAAAAAACAGTTCCAAGCATTCTATCTTTACCTCCACTTTTGAAAAGCAAAAGCACAGAAACGAGAAAAAAATGAACGACAATAATGGTAATTAGCCAAAAAAAAAATTTAATAAATAAAAAATTAAAATAAAAAGATTTTCCTTTTAATATAAGAGATTATATTAAAAAGATTATTCTTTTAATATAAGGTATTATACATTTTTTTACTTCTACATAAATGCTAAAGTTGTTAAAACAGGTTAACAATTGAATATCACTGTTATTTACTATCTTTAATGAGAATTACCTTTACTAACTATATTACTATAAATGAGGTGTCGACTGTAAAATTTTCGATGTTACTGAAATTGTGGTTAATTTCAATTTTTTTAATAATTAAATATGACATACCTGATTTACACATAAATATTTAATGAAATCCGAGCCGAAGCCCAATTGCCAAATCTGCTCAAGTGTATTAACTGTGAAACATATCCTGATCGAGTGTCCCCGGTACGCAAAACACAGAGTGCAACATAAACTTAAGCCAAATATCAAAGACGTTTTAAACTCGCCCGATCAAGTCTTTAACTTAATTGGTTTTTTGAAAGATATCCATTTGTTCAACAAAATATGACCCCTTGTTTTCCATGTACTTTACCTTTACTTATAATATAACTTAGTGATAAAACTATTGTATTATTTAGTCATAGGTTCTAAGCTTATAGATTAACTGTAGCATTAGTAATATGTGCTTATTGCATTAATTAAAAAAAATATATCTAAATGGGAATAGGCCACAATTAAAGATTAAAGTAAGTTTATTTACGTTTCAATTTCCAGTTCGGAAATCGTTCTCAAAATACAAACATTGGTAAATTAAACAAATTTTGTTTTTTTTTGTTACTTGGTAAAAAATTCTTCTAATAATTTAATTTTATCTGACTCGTTTATATTGGCAATTAAGACAAGCATTATACATTTTAAAGTAGACGACTTTAGAATGATATTGCCAATATTGTTGAGTTGCGTTCCTGGGACGACTTTATTTGTGAGATAGTTCATTCGATTGCATGAAATAAACTTTAACTTGAGAATTTACGTCAGAAAAAATTATAGCATGTAATTCGTCTTTAAAAAGACAAACACATGCCATGATTACAGTAAAATTCTCCTGTTAGTGATTCCATAGTAAATTATGAGGGAAAAACTAGGAAAAAACCTCATAATACATATCATCTAATAATACATAATACTTTTCTGTATATTCAACAATGAAATGATAAAAAACCTGTCCTTACCGCTAAATGTGACCGACTGTTTTCTTCTATTCTGCACATCTGCGCCTTCTGACGTTACAGACCCTTTCCTTTTACCTGGATCATCTTTGCTTTCCTGTGTCATCGACTGTTTCCTCTTTTGTTCTTCTTTTGCTATTTGGGTCACAGATTGTTTTCTTTTAACTGATTGATTTATATCTTCTGCAGCTACCTTGGCATCTTTTGATTCTTGAGTTGCTTCAGACGATATGTTTTGGGTTTCGGTATTGTAATCACCTTGAATCTTTTTCGCCATAAACTTGACATAGGCTACGCGTGCTTTCTTTGGTATTTCGGTTAAATTAGGGTTGTACTCTGGAACAAAAAAAATCTTAGTAGTTTGCCTTTATAGAAATTACAGATTAAGATTAAACTGTCAAATTGGAAAGTTACTCAAGTATTACTTCTATATTACTACTGTATTCTATATTACTACTATATTACTTCTGTTTATTAGTAAAATAAACAGAAGTAATATAAAATTAAAAGTGAAACTGGAACAAACCATGAAGTGGAGATATCCAGGTAACCAGATCTCCAGAAATAATATAATTAGATCAAAGAGTTCGTTAATCCTAAAGGAGTATAGATAGTCCTAATGTAAAAGAAATACTAATGCCAGATGATTCGAGAAGTATTTTAGTGCCCCTGTACAAAAACATAGTAATTTCCAACAATGAACAAAATAAAGGGACATAAAACTACTTAGATTAGAAAGATAAAGGAATAGAGAGTAATGTACTAAAAAGAAAAATCTTACCCAATAGCTTATCATCGTCTACAACAGGATTGCTTAAAATATGTCTTCTTAAACTCTGCCGCTTGACTCTTACAGCTTCTAATTCCTGGGCGCTACCTATTGGATCGTTATGCAAACTCTTCTTTTTTACCAAGGCATTCCAATCTTTCTTTGTACTTTTGAACGTAGCTCTTCTACCGATTACTTTGGCAATGTGGCCAAAGACGTTCTTGCTTTCCGCTGGATTCATTTTCATTTCTTGAACGATGCCCTCGACTATACCGATGTGGAAGTCTTTCATAAGTCGCCTTTCCATCATTTTGCCTTTCTTTCCAGCCACTGAATTAAAGAAAATGATGAATAGTATCCATAGTTTAGTAATAAAGCTACACTCAGAGTTAATTCTAACCGTTTTACATTATAAAGTCATTTGTTATGCAAAAACAAAAGTCATATCGCATCAACTTACATTGAGTATCCTCTAGATTGATTTGAGGAGTCTTCATTCCATTTCTTCTTAGAATATCTATCAGTTCGTACCTCAGACTGGAAATGTCTTGTCTTATTTCCATAACGTCGTCTTCTGTAACGCCATAATCATCTCTTTTCCTTTGTTCAGCGGTGACGTATCTTCTGACCAATAGTTTCATCACTGTCTCGTGTCTTTCGCGAGCCATTTCCCTAGATTTTGCCTAGAAGAAAAAAGTAAAAATATTTAAACTATTTGACAGCTAAAGCAAATAAGCTAAATAAAATAAACAAGCAAACGCATTATAATTATGAGTCAATTCTAAGCATTTTTATAATAATACAAGTTGCGCCAAACCTCAAGGAACAGATTTTCTAAATTTCTTTTGTTCATTTTTGAAAATTTAATAAAAGAGAAAAACTGCTATGCATTTGGTAAGATATTAAACGAAAAACTTATATACCTAAACTGTGGATAAAAATTCATTCAAATATTATACTTATATGCTAAAAATCTAGTATTGATAATATCCCAAAAAATTTTAAAAAACTGTTAAACCAACTGCATTTAGATTGTCATCCAGGACAAAACGCATATTGATTGTTTAAACAAAGTAGTATGTATGATTCACTTTTGGTAGTAACGATGTAAAAAAACTTAAGTAGCTTCATAAAAATAGTATTTTAGTTTTAAATCACCTTTCGATAACGACCTCCATCGATAACGTCATCATCTTCAGTTTCACCAAGATGATTGGCATTATGTCACCAGAGCCAAAGATAATTGATTGTAACTATATTTGCTCAGAATGGTTAATCCAATTCGTTCCTGACAGTTCCACTAATATTGTCGAGAGGCTTTGGAGTTTTTTTTTGGTTTATGAAGTTCTATAGCAGGTAAGAGTAAAGTCGAAAGCTTTTTTCCACGTTTCAATATTGTTTGGAATTGTTGGGATTGATCATATATATAGTACAGTTTGTTTACTTACAACTGTCGTTTTTTTCCTGTCCTTAGTTTCCATCGTTTCCTATCTCGGGTGTCGGCTTCATTTAGCTGTCTTCCTTCCATGGCTTCATTCACGTCATCTCGCCAGCTTCTTCTTGGACGCCCTCTTTTCCTTTTTTCGGTTGGGATTGATCATCATTTCTGTAAAACAGCTCGGTTAAAATACCGTTGTTGTTTTGTGATCTCTTAATAATAATTCGTTTGGTTGACGCAGTTTTCATATCGTTAACAATCCAGTACCTGCCGAGTTGTTTAACTTCTCCCTTCTTGGAGTAAATGTCATAATATTGTGTAGGTGTTTTTATTGTACTGTAGGATCAGGTCACTTTTTCCATTTGCTGTAAAACACGGTCTGCTGGCAAATAAACGTCCGAGTACCGGAAAAATAAGTACCACAGCCATAGCATGAGCATATGTATTATGTGAACATTTTTATTCTGTTTGGCACAATCATCTGCGAATAGTCTTAAGTGTGTTATATCTGATCCAAATTCAGATTTATTGAGAAAATCACGTAGAGCAGAACTTATTTGTGCAGATCCTCTTTTTGCTTGGTATTCCATCCAGGTGTAGAAAACTGCCGTTTTAATATCCACGTCAGTTATACAAAAACAATAAAAAGATAACTGTTGAGCGTAAAATGCATCTTGAATGGGCACTTTCGGTAAGACTTAAACCTACTGAAGGTCAAAACGGTAGGAAACAGTGTGTTCCGGTTTTTTATTCATTAGTTTAAAAAATTATTTTGCTCGTATTTTATGCACAAGGAGAGAAGTTCTTAGTTTTTCAATTTCAGTTTCGTCTTTTGCAAAGACTAAAAGAAGTTTGGGTCCTAACACAAAAGCCACATACGTCAGTAGCAGGGCTTCCAAATGAAATATTAAAAATAACTATTAAAGATACTACTAAAATACTTTTAATTTACTTTCAAATTCTTAACAGTGTAGCATTTTAAATTTGATTGATTCTTTGAAGTATATTTAAAGTCGCCTCGTATATGAAATCGTCTTAATAAAACGAAGAATGTTTTCTGTTTTTTAGTTCGTATCTTTCGAAAAGTGTTTTCAATCATTCTAACGTCGTAGAGTAATAAATCCATTTAATTGTTGTTTATTTTACTGCGGCGATTTCTTTTCATGTAAATGCGTTTCAAAAGATATCTACGTCGTTCGTTGGTTTTGCTATTTCAGCAGTTCGTTGATTTTCAAGTTAAGCGAACAAATTTTTAATTTCGTCACTCTCGGTGAAACCGCTGTCAAGAGCGTTTGTAGTTTTATTGGAGTCCGAATTTTTCTTCAAATTCGTAATGTTTTTTCGTTTTTTTTTGTCATTTGTCATGGGAAAATGTGTAGTGTGGTAGCAGTTAAGAGCTCGGCTTGTAATCTTCAGAAAGCCGACAGATCCTGTTTCTAGAAAGTTATATGTGTTGTAATATGTCCTAAATGGAAGATTTGTAAGGTGTTACAACGATATAAGAGGCCATCGTATTTTCAATGAAGTTTTGAAAATCCAAGCTTAGAAGTTTGCAATTTTTTTTTAACCACCGAAGCCCGATGATCCAGCCGAACTTCAACTTCCTTCGTCTATTTGTTTGTCCCTGGTCATTCCAGACCATTCTGAAGCTTGGAGACGCATTTGTGTTATTTGCAGCGTTTAGAAATCCAGTTCCAGCCCCAAAACTAATATTTAGTGAAGTCAGGTACTTTTTTTGTTAAATTTTTTTTAAGTGAAAAATAGACTTAACAGTACTCTGATTGTACAGATTTCATAAAATATTAATAAAGTCTTTCGTAGCATAAAATGGTAACTCTATACATAATAGAGTTTGCGATGCCATCTTGGGTTGAAAATTTGAAAAAATAGACAAATTGCATATAGAAAGTCTGCTCCTCCTGTGTCTTTATTTGATTACGGCTAAGCCGTAAACTATAGAGTACTTTTTGGCAATTTTAAAACTTTATATATATGTCCTACCTTAAAACTCTTAGTATTCCTTAGTCCTTTGTTACACCCCATAGTTCTCGTGATGAATTTAGGATTGGGCATAATATTAAAAGGAGGGGGTAAAGTATCTCCAGATTCGAAATAGTTGACCCATAAGCGACTTCTGGCAAATTTCCATTCGGTATCTGATCTTTCCTATAATGAAAACATACACATAACCATTCTGTAACATACATAACTTTCGTCCTCTTTCTTGTACTATCAATATAAACTACTTAGCTAAGCAGATTTTCAGCTGTACTCTATACTTCAGTATAAGCATCGTCAACAATATTTTTAGTATAAAACGTGTGATATGTTTTAAAAGAGGACAAATAATAACTACATGTACCGGGTGAGTCAACGTTGGCGCCACGGTCTATTGTAGCTATTTAAATTTGAAACTTTTTTCTCGTCTCTGCTTTACGGGATAGAAGCATGGACACTTAACGCGTCTACCACTAAAAAGTTGGAATTATTTCAACTATGGGTGTATAAAAGAATCCTAAAGATATCATGGACCGAGCATGTAACAAACAACGAAGTCATGAGAAGAGTCAACAAAGAGTGGAAATATTGGAAACCATCAAGACGCGAAACCTGCAATACTTGGGGCATGTTATGCATAATGAAAGATACAACATACTTCAATTAATTATACAAGGGAAAATCCAGGACAAGAGAAGTGCAGGAAGGAGAAGAATCTAATGGGTGTGTCACTTGAGAAAATGGTACTGATGCACATCAATCGAACTATTCAGAGAGGCAGCATCTAAGATCAGAATAGCCATGATGATTGCCAACCTCCGTCGCGGAGATGGCACGGAAAGAAGAAGAAGAGATTTGAAACTATTTTGTAATATTTGTATAGATTTGTTGAAAAATTGTGGTGAGTTAAATTTATGTAATTTTTTACGGAATTTTTTATTTTGATATATTTATACTTATCCAAAACAGTTTAGAGTGTCCATAATCAGACAGACACATATATACAGTATACATTCTTCAAATACAGAGTTCGAAACGCAGCCGGCATCGTAAAGAAATAGATGATACAGCACGGACTAAAACTTGTGGCAAAGAAAACCAAAGCCATCATTCTGGAGAAAAGGAACATGACAAGTGTGGACCTACAAAGTATAGAGACGTGTCTAATGTCCAAGAAACACGTAAAGTACTTGGGAGTCACGTTGCACCAGAATGGAAAGTGAGGGGAGTAGATGCAGTAGGTGACCCAGGAGACTGCGAATAATGTGGCTGCTCTGGGGAGGGTAATGCCTAACATTGGAGGACCCAAATCCGATCCGATCCCAACACTCGACGTGTTCCTGACTGGATGTGTCTTCACAGGACACGGGTGTTTTAGGACCTACCTCTCTAGTTTTGAAAAGACTGACACGGATGATTGCCTATACTGCGGCCACTGGGGCACTGTAATACATACGATGTTAGAGTGCATTAGTAGAAAAGAACATACTCGAACGACAGACAAGTGTGAATTTTGTTACAGTGAGGGAAATAATTGAAAGTAAAGCAGGTTGGACTAGTATACACAAGTATAACCGTGCAGTGATCAAGAAGAAAGAAGAAGAAAGACAGCTGGATCAACAGCAAAGTTAAAGATAGCGGGAATACGTTTTGATAAGGGGCGAAAAAGTGAGCTAGACTGTATGAGTGTCACTGTGCGAGTCAGACTATGGTGAAGGAGGAAAAACTCGGCTGGGAGTGATGTCGTTTAAGAGGCAATGAGGATCTTTTACGCCTTAGCTGGAACGGGTTTCCTCTAAAAAAAAAAAAAAAAACAAAAAAAGCCAGGTTTTGGGACCAAAAATTGAACATAGGAAAAAGGGACAGGGACCCTCCTTGCCGACAGACTGTGAACTTGCTTCGAAAGAAATGCTCAGCCTAACAGCGGCCATTTCGCTTCCGGACATTGGGGAGAAGGGTGTGTTTTAGTAGGTAGGCGTTTGGCGTAGACTCGGAAACAAGAGGGCGTTTTAAAGTAATTCGTTGACCATCGCGTCAAAGTTGACACCCTGTGTAAGTTAAATTATAAATATCTTTAATCACATACGAGATTAAAGGTGAGAAAACAGTATCGCTATAATATAAAAATATATAAAAATATACTTACTGATATAATTTGGTAAGAATTTGACATCATAGCAATCAACATGTTCAGTAAAACGATTATATTAATGACGGAATATGATCCAAACATTAGCAAAGCCCAGAACCTGGTAAATCCTTTTATTCCTGTTAGTTCAAAGCACATTAAGTCCACTAATCCAAAGCTGGCCCAAAAAAGTGACTGGGACGTTTCAAACAAACTAAAATTGATTAATAATTGGGTATTGGATATTTTCACAGATTAAGAGACTTACTTAGCATATCTTCTCCAAATAGTACACGCCTTGTCGTTGTTATCAAAATCTGGTAGACCGCTGGGCAGATGGTAACATTTGTTCTTTTCTAACTCTGCATAATACCAAAGTAACTGGTTCAAACCTGCAATGTTATGTTTATGGTAAATATATTAAGAGTGGTTAGTAAAAGTACTTACCACAACCAAAAGCGAACAACACTAAGGTGTAGATGAAGAAAAATTTAACAATATCTATTATCATTCGTCCAAGGGATATTTGTAGTGGTCCCAGATGAGGGTTAACACTAAATATGTGGACCAATTTCAAAAAACTGCAACAAAATATAATTTTTACACTTTATAATATCATTATTGGTTACACGCCAGAATGTGGTGTAGCCAGTAGGATGGTTCTAACTGTCATTGTTCAGTTTAATGTTCAAAATAATGATATGACTGAATAAAAATAAAATTTAACAGTTAAACAAGAAAGATAATCAAGAAAGTTTGAAACACAAAACTGAAAAGAGTCGTTTTTTTCTCATGTAATGCTCTATTCAGTCTATAACTTATCCTGTAAGGTACGTTTCATTTAGTGGATTTCTCGTTTGTTGCCAAATGCGTCGAGCTCTTTTTTTTCTGCTACCAGTTCTCTTATATGGAGGGAGATATATGATTTTCTTGCACACTTCTTTGTCGCTGTGGTGTTGCTTCCCATCCTATTGTGTGTAAAACTGTTGTTAAATAGTCTACTGCTTTCTGAACATCTTGGATTTTTTTATCCTAATATCTAGTCTAATCTTTATATTTACAGAAAACATCCAAGTTTGTTTCTTTAGTTGTGAGTTTGGGTGGTGGTGTTCTCCATATTATGTGTGTACTTAAAGTTATTATCTGATAAGAAAAAAAAAACAAAACTTAATAGAATTACTAGCTTACATCTCTGAAATTTTTCATGACTTCTACAAAAGTTTGCCTTGCGAAAGTGATGTATGTGAGGTATATCCTGACTCTGTCAAAGACGAATCTAAATTGGAGGCAGATTAATAGTTCGTAAGAAGAACTTTTATCTTTTTTTTGCGAACTTTTAGTATTATACAGGGTGTCCCATAATTAATTGGACATTAGCTAATGGGTGATAAGCTGACATCAAAATAAAGCGTTTGAGCTCAAATTGCTTAGGAAAAATGTTGCTAGTTTTCGTTCTACAGGGAGATTCATTAATATTTTTTTATATTATTTTTATGGATATATTGAAAACTATTCAACCGATTTAAGTGAAATTCGGTATCTTGCTATTATTTAGTATGCTTAATAAGAAAATGATATTAGTTTTAACATTGACACTAGGTGGCGCCACCTACTGTAACATTGGTTCATTAATGGGGCTATAATTTTTTTGTCCGCCCTGTATAAACATTCTAGGAAAAAAACATGAAATAACATTCAAGTCTACAGAAAAAAGGTATTCTTTTGCAAAACAAGTGTGCTTTTAACTTAATGACAACGTCAAGACGTAACTACGAATTTATTTATTATTACTTGTCAAAGTGCAGTGCGAGTCATTATTTGTCAAAGTGCTATTAAGTTTTTTATAAACCACTTAAGATAAAGGAAAAATGCCACGTCATAGTGAATTTTCTAATGTAGAAATGCGCGATATGATCTGTTTGTATGCCCAGGAAAATTTTTGTTCTTGTAAAGCAGCTGATCTCTATTTCGATTTTTATCCCAATAGAAGGCAACCAAACGATAAAACTATTAGATCATTGTTCGACAGATTAGGCGAAACAGGGTCATTTCATCCCAAAAACAGGAATGCTGGAAGACCGAGAGTAATTGATGCGGATATGGAGGATGAAATTGTGCGTGTTGCAGGAGATCCAGAAACCAGTACAAGGCTTGTTTCTGCGGCCACTTGTATAAGCAAATCTACGGTGTCAAGAATAATACGGACAGAAAATCTGTATCCGTATCGTTTTACTCCAGTACAGAATCTTTTACCACAGGATTTTCCAGCAAGGCTCCGATTTAGTCAGTTTATGATGGGGCGGCATTTAGACGATCCAATGTTTTATAATAAAAATTTATTTACCGATGAAGCAACATTTACTAGAAGGGGTGTATTTAACTGGCGCAATAGCCATACCTACGCGACAGAAAATCCTCATGCATTTCAAGAACATCATTTTCAACACGAGTTTTCCATAAATATCTGATGTGGCATATTTGGGGATTTTATTGTAGGACCATTCGAATTACCAACTAGGCTTGACGAAGTAACGTATCTAATTGAGAAAAGATTTACCAACTCTTTTAGAAGACATACCTCTAAATTTGAGACGGAACTCTTGGTACATGCATGATGGTGCACCACCACATTATAGTCACTTGTTTATAAAAAAAAATAAATAAATAACCGTCAAGAGTTATGGCAAAATATTGTAGAGGGAGTTAACGTAATTAGGGCCCAAAGAAACTCATTATTTAAAATAAGACAAAACTTACACAAAAGATTTAGATTATGTAGTGTATCTAATGGTGCACATTTTGAACACTTATTGTAATTTTAATTATTGTTAATTGTTATATATTCACTTCATTGTTTAATTTAATTTCTGATTTTTTTAAAATTTGTTACTGAGTCAAAGGTTTAATAAAAATAATTGTTTCAATCATGTGCATATTGTGTGCAAAAATTATCTACTACTAATACATTTAATATTCACTTCTATTTAAGACCTTTTGAAAAATGTTTGAATTTACATAAGTTTTTGTAAAATTTTTTTATGACTTCTAAAAATAGTTATTCGAATACTTTTATACTGAACAAGAATACCTTTTTTTGTGTAGAATTGAATGTTATTTCATGTTTTTTCCTAGAATGTTTATACAGGGCGGGAAAAAAAATTATGGCCCCATTAATGAACCAATGTTATAGTAGGTGGCGCCACCTAGTGTCATCGGTAAAACTAATATCATTTTCATATAAAGGATACTAAATAATAGCAAGATACCAAATGTTACTTAAATCGGTTGAATAGTTTTCATTATATCAATAAAAATAATATAAAAAAATATTAATGAATCACCCTGTAGAACGAAAACTAGCAACATTTTGCCTAAGCAATTTGAGCTCAAACGCTTTATTTTGATGTCAGCTATCACCCATTAGCTAATGTCCAATTAATTATGGGACACCCTGTATAGCTATAGATAAATTCACATTCATATGGCAGCGTTACAGAGATAGGCCTGTACTTTCTATATACCAGAAATAACTACATTGTTGTCAGTTTTTAATCGTACCTACAATCGTACGTTATGGGCCGGCTCCTATAAAAGAATTATAATTTCGGAAATATTTATGAATGTGAAACGGAAAAATACTACATTTTTTTAATTATATAATTTTTCTGTTGGTATTTTAAAAATAGAAAGTTATATTTCGGAAATCTGGTCTTTTCGGAATTATATCTTCTGTTCAAAATTGTTTACAATTCGTGGAAATGAAATAATTATTTGTATAATCCGTTTTTGATCTTAATGTCCTTTTAATGACACACTTTCTCTACCTGCATTTACAGTTACAGACATTAACAAATAATTTAGAATTAAAAAAATATACCTATTTATAAATTCAAAATTATTGTCTAATGCCAGCAATTATAAATTCAGGTAAATACTTGAGAGTCATTAAAAGAATTTTCAGTTGATATCAGACGTTTGTGTCGTGTCAGTGTCAAAATGGCCGCGAGTGTAATAAAATTCAAAAACGGTAATTTGTTAAATAGTGAATGCAAAAAAATAGTGTTAAATGTTTTTAACTATTTATCAAACAGTAATAATGATAAAAGTGTATCAACAATAGTGCGGGAAGTTTCTGCTACGGCTGGAGTCTCTGAGCGAACGATATTCCGATATAGAAGTGAAAGTAAAAATGGTCCACTCGTAACTCCTATAAGAAAAAAAGAACCGGTTATTTGAATAGTCGTGAGGATAGATATGATGAAGCAACTCTGAAGCTGATGAGGCCCCTAGAACACAAGGGGTGTAAGTGCCAAAAACAAAGTTTTGAAAAATCTTTGTTCAAAGTTCGATATAAATTTAAAAACCTAGGTAGCACATTTTCAGTTTTCAGCATGTTTTCAATGACATGTAATTTTTGATGGTGTTACTGTTGTTAATGTAGAAAGTTTGAAGCCAAAAGTACGTGCCTGTTGTTAGATATCAGTTGCTAAGTGATAAGCAACTGCACTTACACCATTGTGTTCTAGGGGCCTCAATTAGGGGTTTTTTGCAATTATCTCAGTCATTTGTTTATGTATTTTAATTTACAATCTAAAAAATTAAAAAACTTTTTAAGATCTGCAACATTTATTTGAAACCTAAAATGCACGAGGAACAAAATAGGCAAAAAAATGATTTTTTCCAAACTTCATCTTTCTTTAAAAATAAACAAAGCAAAATTGGCTATAATTCTTCAAGGAATTATCATCAGTTATCCCTTATCTACCGTTTAGAACATTAAAAAACCTGTAGAATATTTTTCATATTTTTTCCATATTAACTGCGGTATTATGTATAAAAGCATTTTAGGAATTATTACCATTTATTTCATTCACGAATTTTCTATTAACAACTTTAGCTTACCTAAACATATCTTAGTTTACCGTGAGTTTGGCCCTGCTTATTTTACAAAAGTAGCAAAACTTACAATGGCAGTAGAATTGGCAACGCTGTTATCCTATATCCGTACACTGCCATCTGAACGTGACTTTATCTATAGAATATGTATTTTTGTGGTAGTGCAGGTTAATATAAATAAAATTAGTTTTATATAAATAAAATTGGTTTTTATTTTTGTAACAATAGAGTAAAACTCAGGTTTACGGTCATTTCTATTTTGGTGGATAAAGCGATAAGTAGATTTATTTTGTTGTGGCAATGAACATAAGCGTATTTATTTTAGATCATTGTTACATGAAATAAACAAAGATGGCAAATGGAGGTGTTCTATAAATAACAATCAATCCCCAGAAATTAAAATTTCGTCAATTAACATAATTTGTTAAAGTTTGAAAAGTATCGCTATCTTAATTTCCATTTTTCTCAAAATTTTAATTTCTTGACTCATAACAGTTTGCACAAACACCAACGAACTGGTCTATAACGATCTGCTGTTTAATTTCCGTACCGACAACCTGGACTAACATTCCCTCAGGAATAGAAAAAAAAAAATAGGTATCAATTCGATGGAGATACTTTCTAAATAGATTCTATTTCTCAATCGGATCAATAAAAGTAATTGTTTTGATACAAATAGAGTGAAACACACCCCAGTTTGGTTAATTATTTTTCTAGTGCTTCCCAAGCATTAGCGATATGATCATCCATCTAATGAAATTGCTGCTACTGTCGCGTCATTTTTTCGCTTTTATCTGACGGTTATATTAAAAAAGTGAGTGTTTTGTTTGGAGTAAACTGTCGGTGTTATTTGTTTTGGTGAGTTATTTTTGATTGGTTTGAAATGTAATACTAACGGTCATTTTATCTACTCGCATATTGCTGGAATAATGCATAGTTGTATGTAATATAAAAAATATGATATTTATTTAAGTATAATAATTTTCAGCGCATGCCTTCAACAGCGCACAAACTACTCTATAACTATAGTAATCAAAATGTTAACACAAAAGTTAACATTTTGATTACTATAAAACACAAAAACCCAAATTAAACAAATACAAAACAATTATTTTTAAGAAATTAAACAAACACTTAATAAAAAACAAATGTTAGAGATATGCAAAGTAGATACATGAATGAATGGAAATAAGTCTATCTTCGCTGCAGTCTTCGTAAATACCATCCTGTAGGCAGTCGGAGCAAATGCATTTTACGTGTTATAAGCATACAAATTTTTGTCATTTTTGACAGGTATATCTGGTTGGCCTATTTTTTGTCTACTACAGTAAAAACAACGACTTCGATGATTAGGTTGTGGATCTGGGGTTGAAACATTTCTTCTTCAATGCGGCAAATTTCTTTTATTCTTGAGCTAATTAATCTAGGGATACGTTTATTCAAAAATCGACATTCCAGATGATCGTTTACTAGTTCCATACCAAGGGCTTCTAGAAAATGTCTTCTAGGCATTTTATCTATCTTATTAGATTTATATTTGTTCATCACAAATTAATTGATACCGGCTACATTCATAGCAGAATAAAAAATGACTATAGACCATCGTCCAGTGGCTCGAGCGTAATTGTAGGCGGTAAACATTTTATCACCTAGATTTACTCCTCTTTTGGATTTATTATAGTCAGTGATGATATCTGGCTTGCCCGTAAATTCTTCTAGCAAACTGTTGTGGTGCATCTTTGAGAGTAAAATAAGGTTTTTGATTTTTCTGGGTATATACGACGCAATCGTACATTTTTCTGTAAAAGCAAACATACCTGTTTTTTCTGGTCTCTTAGGATCAGTAAATTAAAGTGGAATCTCTCTTTTGTTTTTTCTAATAGTGCATATCATAATCAGATGATGTTCGTTCAAAAAAGATCGGCCAAGCTGAGCCTCGTAACAAAATTGTCCACTGTTACATTTCTGTGAGAACCAAATATAGAAATATTGGTCGTATTAACTTTATATGGGCCAGATGGCTGTTGTCCAACGTATATCTCTATATTTGCGGTTTAAGGAAACTTACCATCTACTTCTTCTTATGGTGCCCTATCCAATTAGTGGATGTTGGCGACAATTCTGGAATACTCCTCGCGATCTTGTGTGGCTCTAAAAAGTGCATGGGCATCGAGATTTGTCCAATTCCTTATGTTTTTAAGCCATGAGTATTTCTTTCTTCCGATGTCTCGTTTTCCTTCTATCTTTCCTTCCATAATAAGCTTTAAGAACTGGTACTTGGAATTTCGAAATATATGACCCAGATAAGCAGTTTTTCTTCTTTTTATTATTGGCAGCAATTCTCGTTCTCTGCCCATTCGATTTAATACTTCGACATTTGTTGTGTGATCTGTCCAGGGAATTTTAAGTAGTCTTCTAAATACCCATATTTCAAAGGCCTCCAATTGGTTCATCACATTGGCCTTTATGGTCCAGGTTTCTACACCATATAGTAGTATGGAGTAAATGTAACATTTTACAAAGCGATATCGAAGCATTAATTTAAGGCTGCTGTTGCTTAGCAAGGTTCTCATATTAGTAAATACTGTTCTGGCTTGCTCAATTCTGCTACGTATCTCTATGTCTGGATCTAGATCTTCAGTTATCTAACTACCGAGATATCTGAACTTGGGGACCTTTTGGATAGTTCTTGTTGTTTACTCTTATATTCAATTGCATATTGCGTGTTCCACTAACCACCATTACCTTCGTCTTGTCTATATTAATCTTCAGGCCCACTCGTTCTCCTTCAGTGTTTATTCTATCTATTAGTATTTGTAGCGCTTCTGTGCTATCAGCTATTATGACTGTATCATCAGCATAGCGAAGATTATTAATAGTCTGTCAGTTGATTTTGATTCCATCTTTAGTGTCACTTAAAGCTCTATCGAAAATCGATTTCAGAGTAAAGATTAAAAAGGAGGGGTGACAGAACACAACCCTGTCGTACAGCTTTTTTGATTGAGAAATATGATATAGATTCCAGTCCTACTCTCACAGATGCCACTTGATTCATATAAAGGTTCTTTATGATTTTAAGGTCATTCTCATCTATCGAACGTTCCTGGAGCAATCTTAATAATTCTGAATGAATAACACAATCGAATGCTTTCTGGTAATCTATAAAACATACGAAGACATCTTTTTGCCGATCTCTGCATTTCTGAAGTAGGACAGTTAAGCTATAAAGTGCTTCTCTTGTGCCAAATCCTTGTCTGAAACCGAACTGTGTGGGGCTAATGTCTCTTTCACATCTGTTGTATATTCT